ATTATTATCTACTTTTTACTTCTATTTATTTCTATTAACTCTAAAATAAAGTGATTGTTTTTTAAGTGATTTAGAATTATCATACTTAAAAATTTTAAATTGTATGTTTAATAGTTTTAAAACGAAGTGATCGTTTTAAAGTAATTATATGAATATTATTATAACTTAATTAAATTGTAAATTTTTAATGAAGTGATCATTTTTTCTATATTATTATAATTTAATCTTCTTTATAGTAATTTCTTATTAAACTTATATATTTCTTTGAATAATGGTTTATTATTTATTACGATATTTAATCTAAATTATCAATTTAATTAATTTTTATAGAAGTGCTCGTTTTTAAAGTGACTTCTTATTTATTATTACTTTAATTTAAAATATATATTCAGATGAAGTGTTCGTTTCTAAAATTATTTTTTATTTATTATTATTACAATTTAAATTAAATTATAAATTTATAAATTTTTAAAAAATATCGTTTTTATATAAATTTTATTTTAAATTTACTTTTTATTTTTCTCTTTTTAATAGTTATATATTTAATTAATATATTATAGATGAGTTTGTGAGGTTTATTTATAATTATATTTAAACTTAAATTATATAAGAATTATTTTTACAAACTTTTTTATTACTGGAAGTATTTTTTATTACTATATTATTTTTATTTTTCTAATAATAAAATTAAGTTAATTTTTCTATATATCTTCATTATATTATTATTATTATCCATTTTACATCACTTATTTTTTTTTATAATAATTATTTTTATTTTAATTTTGCAAATAATTTTAAAGGAATTGTTTTTCTTGAGTTTTATTGTATTATTATTAAAACTAAATTTAAGTTAAGAATTTAAGTAATTCATTATTGTAAATATTACTAAAAGTGAATTTTATAACAGATTTATTTATAGAAATCATAAGAAAATTATATTCTACCACTATTAAATTTCCATTATTACATATAATTTTTTATGAAATATAATATATATATATATATATATATATATATATATATATATATATATATTTAAAACATTTTACGGGTTTTAAAAATAATTATTATTTTAAATGCTAAAGTTATTTATTTTTTATTTATAATCTTTATTTATAATACATTATCATTTATTAATACTGACTATAAATTGAAAAATAAAGTTTTAATATTATCTACTTTAATATATATATTAAAAAAAATTTAACTGTTTATTATCATTGTGTTTTTTCTTCAATTTGTATAATTTATATCTATTTAATTCTTAAACCTTTGAACAACTTTTATTTAATTTATTTATAAAGTTATTAATAATTATACTTATAAATTTGATTTTTAAATTTTTAAAACTTTATTATTAAAATATACTAATAAATTTTTTAAAAAAAAAGTTAATATTATTTTTTTTTAGAGACATAGTGATGGTGTCGTTTCGATTCGATTTAAAACGGTTGATGCTGCCGAGCTGTGCGTTAAGGTTTTTTAAAATTTTTAAAAAGAACCAGTTTAAAATAATTTGACACCTTTACAAGTTAATTTGTTTCCTTGTAAGGTGAAAGCTGCCAAAGAAAAGCCATTTTTCTTTTTTGTAGCGAATTTTTTTGTAACATTCCAACTGTAAATCTGTTCAATTTATTATAAAATTGACACTTCTTTAGGTTTCGTTACAAATAAAATTTTAGAAGAACCATTAATATACCAGTTTTATAATTAGGTAACAAACGTTAATTTGCACCTTCGTAATCTTAGCCGCTAGTAAAAAGGCTCTGTTTAGCCTATGCTGTTGCTAATTAATTTCTGAATCCCTAAAAATAATTTAAACGTTACTATAAAGTAGCTAGCATCCAATTAATATTAAATGGAAACCCTTTTATGGTTTTAATTGTTCGTTTGAACTTTTTACCCGCCAAATTAATTTCAGTTCACCATTTTGTTATAAAATGTGTGCTTTTTATATATATACCGAATTAAATTTATACGCAAAATTTATATACTAGTGCAATAATTTTAATAGTAATAACAAAACTTTAAAATATGTGTATATAAAAAATATGATAATAAACAAAAATATATAAAAGCAAAACTTCTTATGAACACAAGTTATATTTGAACATTAACTTTTAAATTAGCAAAAATAATTCCAAAAAATAATAAAGTAAGTTTTTATAAATTTTGTGATTACGTTAGCATTCAGGTTCAAGATTATAGAAATAAATTTAAATCTACAAGGTTTGGTTTCTTTTATCATTTAAAAAATTATAAGAACTATTGTTTAAATAAAAATAAAAAAAATGTATTTATAGATTTTTTTAAAATAAATAATATTGCTGTTCATAATGAAGTCATATATGAATTTTTAAAAATTGTTAAAATCCGTTAATACTTTAACTTTTTTATAATAACCAGTGACTAAAGTTAACACAAATAATTTAAAAAAAAAATAAATAATTTTTTTATAATTATAAATTTTTTAAAAATAACACGAAGTTGGTTTCGTTTGTAGTTAAATTTTAAAAAAAAATTAAATTTTCATTTAAAAAATTAACTTTGCGTTAAGAATTATATATATAAATTATAATTACAAATATAAGCAAAGATTGTTTAAGACAATTTTTTTGTCTATTAATCTTTGAAAACTTAATACAAAACTGTTTTTAGTAGTTAAATTCTAAATGAAATTTAATTTTTAATTTAACAGAATTAACTTTACATAAAAGTTTGTATTTATAATTAAACTAGTTATAATTACACAAAGATTTTTTTCTCTAGAATTGATTTTATAATGGCAAAAAAAAAATTAACTATAAAATAGTTGGAATATATTATTTATAAAAACTAACTTAGCATATAAAATAAAAAAAGATATTTTATAAAAAGATCTTTGGGGATTATTGATTTAAAACAAATTTTAAATTATTTTTAAAGTAATTGTAATTTATTGTATTTAATATAATCTTTATACTAAATTTATAATATTGCCTTAGCTTATGAACGGACGCTGGTTTGGCGGGAGACAAGTCGTGTACGTATAAAACGAAATATAATTATGAATTATAAATTATATAATTAATTTTTACTTAATTTTATATGATTTATAATTTTTAAAAACTCAACTAATTTATTAAATTGAAGTTTAGACGGTTTTATATAATTTTCATGAAGTTGCTCTTAATTTGATTATTATTAGAGCACAAATTTGGGATGGAGTTACTGATTATAAAGTTGAGGAAACTGAACATGAAAGGGAAGATAGATTAAAAAAGTGGGATCAATTTATAAGTGGAGGAAAAACTAATGATTGAGTAAAAATAATTTCCGATAATTTTGAAATTTTGTTAAAATCTTTAAAAAGTATGAAGCTTGTTAGGTACTAATAAAGTTATGTCATCATAATTAATGAGAATGTTATGTAGGGCATCTTTAATTAAAAGTGTTTAAACTTGATTTTACTATAAAAAGTATAGAAGTTATTTTTTGTTAAGAAATATATTTAGCTTGAGAAAAAAAGAGTATTTAATTCAGTTTACATTAAACGTTTTCTTATAGCTAAAAAGATTGGTATTTTTTAAAATTTATAATAGTAGACACTAGTTTTCTAGTTTAAAAATCTAAAGAAAAAAAATTTGTGTTTTTCTTATTTAAATAGTTTTTTAATGTTGGTACTATTGAAATTTTTATATAATATTAGTAAATAAACGAGGATGTTATAAATAATATACATTTTTTTATACCTAAAAAATTAAATGAAACCTTTCCATAGAGCAATATATTCGTTTTTTTGCATCCTGTTGAAATTAACAACTCTTTAATTCTCTTATGAAATAACACTTTGAACAATAAACCATGTGTTGTGCGTCTCTTTTGTAGTATGCCAGTAATACATAAATAGGAAAGGTAAAATCCATAATAAAGCGTATACTGAAGACCAAAAAAGTCGTATATACTGAAAATTGTGGGGTTTTTTAACAAAACACTAAAGCTAGAATTTAAATTTTTTTAATAAATACTTCAACACTCATAGTTTTTAACATAAAAATTATAATTTGAAAGATATGAATATAGCCTTCATCCTTCTTTAAAACCGTTTCAATAAGCTGGGAAACTACTGCCTTATAACTCTGAGCTAATACATAGATTAGCTCACTGCTTAACTCGCTTTAAGTTCCTAGCAGGAATAATTTAACTTTTTTTTCTTAAACGTCAAAGAAAGGAATAAGATGCTTTACTATATTTCATTTGTCGAAAATGATTCTTCTAAAATCACGTTTCAAGTGATTAATTATAACTAATATACTTTTGAGACGCTTACGTAATTCTGGCCAACTTTTTTTTTTAAAATATCTTTATAAGTGTATATATGAAAAAAGGACATACTGCGCTAAATATATAACTTTATTCGTATATTGGCGTAAAACGCTGTCTAATTTAAGACAGTGTCGTGTACCTGATAGAGATAAAATCTTTAAATAAAAACATAGTGAAGTACATATTTATTACATCATATATGAAATCTACATTAATAAAAGGTAGTAACTTGAAGTGAGAAATTGTTTATTTTTCGTTAAATTACAAAATTTTGTTTCTCCTTAAGTCGCAAAACGTAAGCTAGGTGTCGTAAAAATTTACCTGTAATAGATAATAATAAAAAATTAAATAAAAGAAAACACCAAAGATTACTAACCAAAAAGTGGTTTTATATATTTAGCTCAAATGTCTAATGTTCAAAGTACAAAACTGTTAAGTTAAATACCGACGAATTAAGTTAGAGTACAAATATAAATTTTAGAAATATAATTTTTTAAATATATCGATACTAAGAAATGTTAGTTAAACTAATAAAACGTTTCTCAACTTTTAGAAAAGTTGTATTTGTAATTGTATCAATATTTAAACAGATGACATTTACAGAAACACCTTAAGTTTGAAGGTAAATTAAAGAATAGCTAAACTAACTAAAGTAGCTACTTAATATATAAAACAGTAAAACCTTTTATTATTATTATTTAAGCTCTGCAAGTTTTTTGACAGTCTCTGAATTTATTTGTGGGCCCAAGATGGGATTACACTGCATAAGATAAGCCAAAGCCCATAACAGCCAAACACAGAAGGAAGTCATAACAATCATAACTCTGACGATTTGCTGATCTTTTCCTTTAGGTGTAAAGTAATAGCCTGTTAAAGTCACTAACAAAAGGAAAGTAGTAACCACGACTGGTAAGATAACTAAAGACATTGCCCTCTTAGTCGTAATACTTATTGAAAATAGCTTTTAACAGCCACCGGAGGGTCTCGCTTAAGTAATGACTTTGTCCCCAACAGCAGGGGATTAAAACTTGTTACTAAACCCTTTTGTGTTGTGTTCTTGTTTTATTATTATTAAAAGTTGTACCATTATAATATCGTTTACTTTTCTCTTATAAACTTACGTGAATAATATAACTCAAGTTATTATATTACTATTAAAAACATTTTTCCAACTTTTCTAGTTGGTAGAAGTACTAAAGGTATACAGGAAGTACTACTATTGGAAGCTTGTACTAACTTAAATTTTTAAATTAGATTTATGGCGAAGAATTTTAGGTAATTATTATAATAATAAACATTAACAAAAAAATAAAAAAAAATATTGCACAATCAACTTGACCAATTTAAACGCCTAACTCATAGAGTATATTAGCTATTAGGGCACTATTTCAAAGTTTGCTTTATATTAGAAGAAGAGTATTGATAATTTTATAAAGTTTGATGCGAAAACTTTTGAGGATATTCTATTATAACACAACTTTATGGTGTAGGCTCAAGTGTATTTTAACTAGTAACAGACTTGAAAAAAATATTAAAATATTTTATTAATTATAGAATAAAATTTTACTTTTAATTTTGTTATTACGTTAATAATAGATTACTTGTTTTTGAATACTCGGTTAATAAAAGGTGTTTTACTTCTAACAACGGTATGGATTTGCTTTGACCTTACTTTAACGATACATTATCCTTAAAAATATTTTGTGCTAGAAAAATAAAAAATATAATAAAATTTTCATTGCCTACAAAAAACTTCGAAGACTCTCTGCTAACAATTATATTGTAGTAAATTATTTAAATTGTTTTTTTACCTTTATTAGTTTGAGCAATAATGCTAGTATAACAGAACGATGGCCTCTAGTGACATCCCAAAATATATAATATCAATATATAGATTTACATAAATAGAATATTCTTTAACTTCTTGTTCAATAACTTTAATTATAGCGCTTGACAAAGAATCTAAAAGTGTTTCGCTTCTTTCGGAAAAAAATTACTTTAAGAAACGAGAACGACCAAGGTCAATCATATAACCGCACAATCACTCACACTAAAAGATTACTTTAGAATTTCTCGTTTCATTTTAAACACGAATTACTGTTAATTGCAAGTCTGTTGATGCCTTCCTTGCTCTATAAAATAAACCATACTAACTTTACTACTAAACTGCTTAATACGAGCTCAATCACCCTTCGAGTTATAACGAATTTCAATAAAGGAATAACTTTTATTATATTAAAGCTCGTTAAAAAAATATATATACACTATAAAGCTGCCTCTTCCAAACAAAGTTAATACACTATCTACAAAGTTGTGTGGAGCAACGGAGATTCCAGCAGAACTAAAAGTCTTCCAAATCTACAAATTTGCGTGTAAAATCAATTTAACCTCAATTTCTTTAAAATTCTTCTTTCAATTGATTTTGAGCATTTTTATAATAAAAAATTGTATTACAAAACTTAATATTCATAAAATTTAGTTTAAGACGCACATTGAGAAAACTACATAAAACAATCTAAATTCATAAATAAACAATTACAAAAAAAAACCACTATGATTTATAAAGATCTCAGTGGTGTGTGGCTTGCGTTAAACTTAGCTCTAAAACTTAAAAGTAATTTTAAAAATTAATGGTGGTAATGAAAACATTGTATTCATACAATAACTTCTACTTGACAATAATTTTAAAGTTTGAGGTAAAAAAAATAGAAGTTATACTATTATCTTTCAAATCTCAAAGCTATAAAAATTATATTTTTGTGTACGACAATTTTTGTTAATTTTAGATAAAAATTTAGACTTTAAGAAATTCTCAAAAAGAAAGATCAAGATCGTCAAAAGCATCTTTATCATTTGATTTAATTCCAGTTGACAGAGATATTTTATGGGATTCTTTTTCGTCAGATTCCATGATCGTTGTAAAGTCACATAAAGTGGCAAGAGCTCAGCCAAATAACGAGCTTTGTGCTAACTGGACGTGACTACGACAGTGCTTGTATTATTACTCATTCGGATGGCCTCAGGCCGTTCGGGTCTGAGTATATGGTGCTATATGGGTCACCTGGCACGAGTACCATATATATAACCTGACCATCCCAAGCATAGTTAACCAGAAGTTTTATGAACTTCTTTAATTGATGTTATAAAATTTAAGTCCTCATATAGAATCGGCTCTTTAAGTTGAATATATGCAAGGCAACACTTCTTAAAAGTAGCTCTACGGCATTATAATAGCTTTTTTTAACTTAAAAAACGGGTTACTAAAAATCTTAAAAACCGTAAAAGTTTTTGTGCTCGAAAAACTGCTGGTTAAAAAATTAGAGCACAAGCTCTTTGGGCTTCTTTCGTAATTTTATATACAAGGAAGGCATTACTACTAGTAATATTTTAAATAGTAAAAAAACTTGGAATTAAATGAAAATTTTAAAAGTATGGAAAACTTGACGTCTTAAATAACCGTTGATAAGTGACGCATAGCTGAATTTCAGGAGTGGAATCACGACACACAAACGTATGCTGTATATTTTTAAACAGAAATGTATAATTGTAGTGTTTTACTAATTATACTTTTATAACTAAAAGCGTTGTATAAATAATATTTTTTCCTGAGCAAATAAAAATTCCTTAGGAAATTTAAAAATGCTATAAATCACTAACTGTTATGAACTAAAAAAAAATTTCACTCCAGCGTTTATATTTTATTTGAATTTGTTAAACAAAAGTATAATTCGTATATATATCCGTTTCACGATTTATTTTACCTTTTAATACCAAACTTATATAAATATAAATATTTATCCGGTTAATTTTTTTCTTTTCTACCTTGCAAGTAAGAAAGTCCCTCTTTAATGGACCGGGTTTTCCTATTAGAGTATAATGATAAGTGTTGCCTTTACGCAATATACAAGCTTTCTTGTTCTCCTTTTACCTTTTCCTATTAACTTTTGTATTCAAACCTCCCTTTCTTTTACCCCTAAACTTTAGATTTCCTTTTACAGCTCCCTACTCGTTTTTTGTTTTTTTATTATGGTCTTATGTTTACGATCTAAGTTTTAATTTCTCTTTATACTCTTGCTTCTTTCACCTTTTCACGGTTTTTTTGTATGCTGCGTGCTAGTTACCTTAGCAACCCGTGGTCTTCTAGCATAATCACACTAGGCTTGCTTATTTTATGTAAATAATTTTCTATATAAATACTCCTCTGCTTTATAGTAAATTAATCTTTTTTAACGTATCCCCCCACCTTCTTTCTAAACTTGTTGATCGTTACTCACGTTATTGCCTGCAAAAAATCTTTATTTAACTCTTGTTTTACCATTACTTATTTTTCCTCTTTATCTTGTTAGTTTTTAATTTAAATTTTTATCTACCTTCAGTCTCTTTACCCATAAAATTTTAAAGTCTTAATTTTATAACACTTGCAAGGCTCGACGGGCAATGCTCTTTAACTTGTACAAACACTCTTAAATCCACGAATTCTTTCTTTAATTAAACGCATGCCCTCTACGTATTTTCTACACATGGCTTTATTTTTGGGGATCTTGAGAGAAATGTATAGGTGTTTTGAAGGAGTAGCCTGATGTGCACGCTCTTATAAATTTTTTTCATAAAGATTGTGCTTTTTTATATGAAAAATCTATAACTTCCGCCGCAACCCAACGAGTAACTTATGCATGTCCGGAAAAACTATATTTAGTATCATCTAGTATCGCGTCTATTACAAAATTATATTTTCATTTTCATCAAATGGGGCGAAATTAAAATCCAACGAATCTTGGAAAAATATTTTATACACTAAATTTACCTGTTTAATTTTTTGCCAGAATTTTTAGTACTTAGCAAACTTAGCTTATCGAGATCTTTTAATAGTCTTTGCAACATTTCAATCTGAACTAAATTTACAATTTCATTTTGTCAAAATCGACCTATTTATCGTCCTTCCTTCTCTCTTTACAATTAATTATAATTAAAGACAGGTTAAGGATAAAAGGAGTATAAATCTTTTATAATTAAGTGTGCCGGAACTGTTGATTCTCTTAATTTAGACGATAAAACTTTTATTATAAACTTTAAAGCTACAAACTAAAACAAAAAAGTTTATTTTTTAAAATCAAACAAAACTCTAAGATTACGAAACTTTAATAAAAAAATTACTTTTGCTCCCTCGATTCCTTAAAGCACATGTTTTTCTTATAACAATCTCCCACGAGCTCCGGAATGATTTCGCCCTCTCCCACAGAAACAGCCATTTTAACCAAATCATAGTTGATCCGTTCGGAGACGACCGAGTCATGCTTGTAATCCGGATGCTCCGTAACAAATTTGCGGAGATACGCAGCCGTCGTTAGTAGTTCGCCTTTAAGATTAAATCTATTACGCCCCCGCAGCAGCAAAAAGATCTCGTCGGGAAAAACCTTTAGCTCGCTTGGAGATGAGGCTCAAGTACTGTAAGATCCGAAAGCGGGTATGCAGATCAATAGTGATGCTGTCAAGGAAGATGAAGATCAAGGGAACCAAACCGAGAAAATCTCCTTCGCCTTTTACGCAGGGCAGAGGCAGAACGGACGAGATGCATAAACAGAAATAAAAAAACCGTTAATAATCTTGTCTAAAGTCATTAATTCAGTTTCTTTCCCGCAACTTCCTATGACATAAGTAAGAAGAGAAACGCAGCGCTACGAGCAACGCACAACCAGCAGTGAGGATGGTCCGAAAGTGAAAGAGCCCGGAATTAACAGCATCCCGCTTTTGAGCGTTTTGAATGTTTTCGTCAATCTAATGATTTATTAAAAGTAATAAAAATAACTTTTTTATGTTCTTTTACGAGAGAGATGGGGAGGTAGAGATTCAGATTAAAGGAAAGAAACACTCTCGTCAGAAGAACTACGAAAACGACGTAAGCGGCATTTTCAAAATCGGACATCTGGACTTCCATAGGCCTTATATTAGTAATGTTTCTATTAAGGAAATGCATATTTTCTATTGAGTTAACCTGAATTCCACACGCCAGCCAATAGAACTCCCTGGCGGCGGAGGTTTGAAGCGAACGGTTTGCCAGTTGGTGGATTGAATGTTTTCAAAATGCTCGCTCTGCGCTTCATTATCTATTAAAAAAAAAATTAGTTTAGAAATTGCAGTAAAAGCCAGTAAGCAGTACTACCTTGGTGCAGCGACTCCTTGTACACTACCAGAGGATCTCGAATAAAAAGATGGGCCACGTGTTGCGCGAGGAGATCGTCCACGCCTGCCACACGGTAAGGAGGTGTAGAGCATGCAGAAGTGAAAAGCCATGCGACCTTCGGTGACTAGTCGGTTATAGACAAGATCGTCCTTGACAAGCCGAAGATCATTGTACGCGTGCTTGAAAAAGGGGCCGGGAGATATGAAACAGTCAATGGAATCGTATCTCGATTTATTAATGACGAACTTGTTATTCGCTAACGGCTGAGTGGTAAACAGTGAAACTAAATTAGCGTTCGAGTAGTAGTACGCAGTAAAACGACGAGCTTACTATCTGCCCCAACTCCTCCTCCGTCCGGTCGTCCACAGACTGGGCAATAACGTTCCACCGGCAATCCTAGAAAGGGGAATGGGAAATTTAATGGAGCCACGTGTTTCGGGGGCAGTGCGCGGCATACAACATCCGCTAGAAAGCCTCGGTAGATGGGGCTCCCCGCGGAAAGAGCCAGCATGATAGGAGACATGACCGCCAGCTGGTCGTACAAATAGCGAGCAGTGCTCAGACTGCACGCCTGGAAGGTCATCTGCAGACACGAGCAGCCCATGCCAAAACACATGGCGTCCATATATATAGTATCCGGCTTTGCCACGCGCTCGGCAACGCCGTCGGGAGAGACCAGCGGCTAGTGGATTCTCCCTTGAGAGAGACGCGGACGTATAAAAAAGAATATCGACTACTTCTCGAAACGGTCGGACGACAAATTTATCGTGGAAGATGGGGACGGAGATGTTAACTTTAGAGCCCCGCCTCTCACGGATGCTCTTTGTAAGGGTTCTTTGTGCAAAGAATAAGCTTTACTTAAAAAAAAAGGAAAGGAATTAAAATACTCAAAACGAGGGTGGAGGTTAATAAATTCATCAGGAATAAATATAGACTTGGCAATAGGGCCGTAGGGCTCACAAGGCGGATCCGAGCAATAACGGCATCTACAAAGTAAAGAAAAAGCTAAACATCTTAGAAAACTCTTTAAAGTACCCTAATCGTGGAAAGTTTGTTAGGGTTACAAGATACTCGTTGTCTTCCAGAAAAGCTTTAATTTTACGTCTCCTTAAAAAAAAATTACAAAGATTTATACTAATAAATCAAGATCGCCACCTTTTCATCATGCTCTCTTCTACTTCAAGAAAATTAGAAATATCGTGGCCATAGGGTGTTCCCGGGGTGCCTAAAAAAGTTTTCCCCGTAAAGTAAATTTTTTTAAAAAAAAAATAATTTAAATATAACGTAAATACTTTCAATCATGTAGCTGGCATACTCAGGCCTCCACAAGGAATCTATGGCTTCCCTAAATTAAACACTTGGTAAAGTCTAAAAGTTTCATGGTATCGATGTGTTTTGCAATAAACAAAGTTTTATATTTTTTTCTTCTATTATTAGTACTTAAAAATTTTACTTAGTAAAAGGATCTTCTTCCTCTGAGTTAAGAATTTCTAGATATTTAGTAGAGTTTAAAGATAACTTGGCGGCTTTTTCTTTGTCATTTAACTTGACGAAGAAATACTCAACTTCGTCTCCCCATTTTAAAAAATCATTTTGTCTATCTTTTAACTGTAAAGGAGATTATAAGATCATTCAAAAATATATACTGGTTCAGAGATAAAGATTTATATTTTATATAGGATCTTAATACGCTTTTGCTAAAGCGAATGCTACTATAGCCTGGCAAAAAAATTCACCTTACGGTAAACGGATAAAAACTGTTCAATGCCATTTTTTCTGACATGGTCTGCCTGCAGTTTTGCCTCGTCCCACGATAACGGGGCACCGTGAGAAAGAAGGCCCATACTATGATAGCATTAATTATGAAAACAATAAACAATAGCAAGGAGTAAAAAGTTATCTCTTTAGAATAAACTCGTTCTGTTTTAGTTCACACTATAAATTGAACCGCCTTCACCCAATTATATTGGCGTAAGCTGTTAAGCCGCGCACGCCCTGACGATGCAGGTTGTCTGTTAACTGTTTCATTGCTACATGAGAATGCATTACGTTAATGCCTCTTTTAAATGGCTTAAAATTATCTATTTTTATTATTATTTACACATGTTATATTATAAACAGATAATGAATATATTAATAGTATAACAAAAAATTTATTTTTATGTCTACGTTGGGATATCATTCCACCCCCGGATGCTACCCAATCGTCATTCTTACACCTTAACTCACAGAAAGTCTTAAGGAATAGCATGTGGATTAGATGCTTCTTTTTATGGAGGCCATAATCTTTCTCGTGCATGTTACGATAGAATCCTATAGAAAAAAGTTAATCCTCGCTATATGAAGTGTGCACTCCCTTAAGCTTCAGTCTACAGCTAAAGGTCAAATGCAACCAGTGCTGTATGGCCCTACTCCTCATAGACCGGCCTGCACCTTCCTTGCTATACGGAGCCCTGTTCTTATTTGTTAATCTCATATATTCTGTTTATTCTGTTTAGTGATCTGTTGTTATGTTTATGTTTTTTTTGACTCTGTCCGACTTTTTGTGCTTCTATACCGTTGGTTCCTTTCATTGTTTCATATTTAGTCAAGTTGTATACGTTTTTATCTATTGAATATATCTATTCATACACAACTCCCGGTCATCTTCATTGGTGCGTTAGAATTACACTCATGCTGATCGTCTGCATATCGCGCCGTTCCAGTTTAAGATGCGAGAGCCAAAAAACTACTCTTTAGTATAGGTTTCTGAACGGTTTTATAGAAATATACAGCTATTACAACAGTTTTAAGCTAGTCTATTAGATCGGAGGTAAATAATGGTATCTACCTTAGACTCGCTCATGATTAGGGTACCTTTTTGAAACTTAATCGTCATTATGGTTATCGTACTCTGGATAGTCAAAGTGTTGTAGAATACCGAGTTAAGCCAACTACTAAGGTAAGTTTTTAGAATAGTACCAATTTAGAGGATATAGATGTACTCTACTTAATTAACCAGTAATCTATTTGTTTTTGTTCAGAAAAAAGCTAAATATTGTAATACCTAATAGAATCTAACCAAAATGATTCAATAACACGCAAGACGTCTAAAGGGTCAAGCTGAAGGTCCCGGTAAAGAGCTTCATTTCGCACAAACTACGGAGCGCTTGTCATCATGCGAAGCAATCTGTTCAGTCGTACTTGAAGTGCCGACGCTATTGGAATGGGGTCGCAGGGTCCAGGCAGCAGACGCGTAGCTCAGTATTGGCTAGATGAAAGACATGTACAATTGTCGTTCGTTTAGCAGAGAAAGCTTGCTCTTACCGCATAGTAGAGGGTAAAGCGCCTTAGTTGCTGCCTTGGTCTTTTCCACTACACAGTCCACGCGCGGCTGCCAGAAAAGTTTTTTGTTCATGATGACTCCCAAGTCAATTTCGCTTGAGAAGACTACGGAATCTTTACGCCATCAAAGGTTGAGGGCGATAACAAAGGGACACGTTTCTTATTAATTAAAAGCGTTTTGCTCTTCATCGCATTTATATAAACTTTCTAATTAAGTCACCAGTCAGCAAGGGCGTCAAGGTAGCGCGGTAGATGCTTGCATAGCAAGCTGGGAGATTTCGACGTTGAGTAAGTGGCCGTATCAACGGCGTAGTGGGCGATTCGCCTGTGCGTATTTGATGGCAAGGACACATCACTCATGTAAATTACAAATAAAAGGGGCGGGGCGAAAGAAGAGATCTCTGAGGGTCCCCTGCTCTCAGAGATCGCAGTGGCGTCTGTGTATCTTGCACGAGCACGTTGGAGATGTGACCATTTAGATATGACCTCAGCACACGTTGTAAAGGTCATGAGAAACGGATAACGACCGCACTTTGTGCAGCAGACAATCACGCCAAACTTGATCAGATGCTTTTTTAAAATCAAAAAAGACAGCGCCTGTTGCCTTCTCTAAGTTAAATGCGTGAGTGGTCCATTTATTTAAAAGGAGGAGCTGCTGGGTCGTTGAGTGCCCTTACCGAAATCCAAACTAAAACTCTAGCGAGGCGTCCCAAGCGTCAACGACCTCTTTTAGACGGCGCAGTAAACGGCATCACCCATTTTGCCAACCGCCTGACGGAGACTGATGAGTAGGTACTTGGTAGCTGATGGTTTCGGTTTAAGTGTCTTTGGCGGCATCACAATAGTCGCCGTCCTCCATCAGATCGGAAAGGCGCCAAGGACCATCGCACATTTTACTAGATGGTACAGGTATGGCATCTCTGTTAATGACAATTTCTTCAGCATCTCATTAGTGAAGTCATCGGGCCCAGGCGTTTCGTTTGGGTAGCGCTTCATCATTAGCAGTATAGTGAGCAGCTGGCGCATTTTGGGTAGCAAGGACTCTCAAACTTTAAAAAGCAATAGCAATTCCCATTATACCAACTACGTTAAATATATCTTATCTAATTTATATATATTTAAATGATCAATAAAACCAATTATTATCTTACGAAAAAATTAAAAAAAACAATTAAAACGATAGTGTAAAAAAACAAAGTTTAAGTATTAGTTTTTCAATGGAAGTAAGATATAGCTTCTTGTGTTTGCCATATTAAGTATAATATATAAATCCTTATATTTATAATAATTAAATCACTTTGTTAACACACCAACAAGAATTTAGTACTGTACGCATGGGAATGAAATCTAACCTACCACCAAATAAGAAAAATTTTAAGGAAAAAATCTTCCAATAGCAAGGACGTATTAAGAGTAAAGGCTTCATTTTCTGAAAGGATTCGGAGCTTTAATTGTCCCTGGAATTTTTTTATAACTTAGTGTTTGTGATGAGTTACTACGAACTTCGTTCCGATCACACATTTGACCCAGAAGAAATCAAAAATAAATTGGGTCGAAGCCAAATTCAAGCTGAAGCTTTGGCCTTTTCAGAGCAACTTAATAATTTACTTAAGTCTGATAAATTTTTGGTAGAAAAAAATTATATACCTCTTTCATCAGCTGACTTGTTTTTTGATAACATCCGGGACGGAGTTATTTTATGCAAGTTGATCAATGCTGTTAGGGCTGGTTATTCACTAATAAAACAATATATATATATTAATTTACTAGGTTTTTTGATATAAGGAACCATCCCGGAAACGTCTATAAAAACCAATGTTGACTGGAGAAATGCCGATAAGGCTGGCTCTAGAGATATTTTTGAAATTGCTGGGAATCACTCCCTTGCGCTGAAAGCTGCTAAAGATTTGGGTTGTAGCACAGTTAATATAGGACATGAGGATATTTTTCGCGGCAGCCGACACTTAATTCTTGCGATCGTTTGGCAGTTAATACGCTTTCACTTAATGAAAGAAGTTAACCTTATAAGGTTATCTATAGGTTTTACTAGCATTTTTACAGTATTATATTGGCTATTTTTCTCAGTAGCGCTAAGGTTATATAAAAATTTATTGGTTTGCTTTATTAAGAAAATTATTTTTAATATTACTCTCCGGAAGAAGTAATTATTGTCTACAATGTTACCGTTAATTTCAGTCATCCGGAGCTTATTCGTTTGCTGGAACCCGGTGAGAAAATTGAAAAGCTTATCAATATGCGAGCTGAGGATATTATAAAGCGCTGGTTTAATTACCATTTAAAAAAGGTTTAGTTTCACCTTTTTTGCTTTGTAAATTATCGTCAAAGCTTATTTAAAGTGTCTTTTGCTTTAATTTAGGCCGGAACTAACGAGGTAGTAGAAAATTTTGGTAAGGATTTAAAGGATTCCAGTAAATGGGTGACCTTGTTTAAGCAAATTGCGCCAGCTGCATCTCATTCTGCTGGAATAGACGAAGTTTTAAAAACTTCAGATATACTTAAAGTTTATTAATTTATGATAACCACCATTTATTTTAATTTATTTAATTTTTTAGAGAGCCGAACTTTTACTCGGTGTGGCTGAGAAACTCAACTCTCGCGATTTCACCACAGCCGCTGATATTGTGGCGGGACACGAAAGGCTAAACTTGGCGTTTACAGCCACCATTTTCAATAATCACATAGGCATTCACTTTCCTACCGAAGATGAAATCGCAGAGCTCTACAGTGAGCTTACAAATTTAAAAAACTTGGTTATTTATATTTCTATGGACAGCTTTATTTTGTTGAGTTTTCCTAGTAGAATTCTGCATGTACTGAGGAGTTAGAAGAGCTGATTAGAAAAATTAACATAAGTAGCGAAGTTAAACTTAAGTCTTTTACTCAAATCCAAAGTTTAAAGAATAAGATAGAAAACTCTTTTCCTCACCTTTCTGGTCAAGAGGATTTCTCTTCAACCTTTAAAAACTTTATTCAGGCTTTTGAGCTTACTTCTTACCTTCTTCAAAGTATAGTCTATCTTTTAAGGTACTCATTCTTTAAAACTTTTAACAAAAAACTTAATAGACAACGAAAATCCTGCTGATAACGCAACAAAAACCTTGGAGGCTTTAGAGAAAACTTTTAGTCTTGAAAAAGAGCTTTCTATAAAAAAAAATCTTCTTCGAGACACTGTTGTGAATATGAGTGGAAAGTTGAAAGACATTAACTGTGCAATTAGCGACTTGAAGGACATTACGGGCGGCCGAGGAAAAAGTTTCGAGGAAATGCAAAGAAAACTTGAAGAAAAAAGAGCTCAGCTTGCAAGTAAAACGGCTGCCATTGACGAATATACAGCGGCAGCGAAAGACTGTTTAAGTGGCTATGAGGGAAGTTTGGACAGCGCGCTGACCTTCTCCGAAGAAGGCCCCGACAAAGATCGACTTAACGCTGTTGTGGATGCCACCGCGTGGGTATTAAAGGGGTACGTGGACACTATAAACCAGCGGGAGAATGAGGCAAAGCAGATAGAAAACGAAGAGCGACGTCGCCTTGAAGGTTTTTGACTCATTTGTCTTAATTCAATAAAGTTGACTTTTTTCCAAGAGCTGAATGCGGAACTGTCTGACTATCTTAGCGAAGGCCAAAGTAGTGCCCAGGACGCAATCACTAATATGAAACGTCTTTTGGAATTGCTTATTGAAAAATCAAAGAGGCAAGATCTACGAATTAAGAGCCAACAGGTTTTTTTATACTTCGAGCTTCTTGCTTAAAACACATATGATTTATATGCTTATAGGATATAATCCAATACAAAAACAAACTCAACGCGACTATGGGAGAGAAAATTGTGGAAATTGCTCAAATTAGAAAAGAAAATCTTAAAAAGTACGTTTATGTTAACGTTGTCTACATCTTAATAATTAACCATTAACGACTCCGTCAAATATAGGAGCGCGGGCAAAAAAAGTAAAGGTCCCTAAGTTATTAGCTACTGGTAATAAAAGATAAGGTAACAATAAAAAGCAACGTCAAAGAATCTATATTTTATTACTTGGATAAAGCGTGCATATAAGTTCGCTATAATTTTTTCGGTTTGCGATAACCGCTTTTAGTTCTCTAAACATATTGGCCATCTCCATTTGGTCTACAGTGCTTCCCTGTTCCTCGACTTCGTGTGGTTCGCACCGGCTCTGACCATCTTTAGACATAGATAAAATTTTTTGCTAAACGATAAAAGTAGCTATTATACCTATTATAGCAGCGCCACCCTTTTCTTCGAATACAGTTAAAACCTGCTCATCGTTACCACCTGGTTGCTCTTTTTCTACAAGTTTTAATTATTAAACCTTGATTTTATTAAATCAGTAATTTTTTTTAGCTTTTGTTTGCTAAACTTAATTCTTATATGTTTTTAGCTAATTAGCATTTTTACAGATGATTAAGTTGACGAAAATCAATTTTTATTGACTAACTTACCTTTCCTTTTTCCCTGGCATACTCGGTTAGTTGAAATTATAGGGCCGGATTGGTTAATTAAGGATAAGATTTGGGACTGAGCCACTAAAATATCGTCATGCAAAGTCCTCAGTTGACCGGTAATAGTAATACGGGACAGAGCAGCGTTTCCGTTTTCCTGCAGCTGACCGGTAATAGTAATACGGGACAGAGCAGCGTTTCCGTTTTCCTGCAGCTAGAAACAGCGTGGCAAGTCTTTTCTTAAAAAGGTTGTAAATAGCTTACGTCGCTCAAAAAGTGTTTGCACAGCGATATTCGCTTTATAGACATCTTTAAAACTTTTTTCGTCGAAATAAGGCGTCTTAAGATTAAACTAGTATTAGTGGGCTCGAAAGTTTTGTAAAAGGCCGGGTTGACAAACTCACTGTCCAAATTAACTTTTCCAAATGACCAGTTTGGGCGGTTCTTGAGAAGGCTATTGCCTAAAAGCTCTGATAGCTCTTTTAAGATGTTGTTGAGATAAGTAATATTCACTACTTCTAATAGCTTATCAAATAGGTTGTTCTTAAGAAAAGAGGTGTGCCTACTCCGCGAGTGTAATAGGCCGCAAAACTTTCTATGGGGCCAAATTTTAGTTAAAAATATGTTCGTTTTTTTTAACGTATAGGCTTCTTTAAGACACGAACTTGTTAGATGTATAAGGCAAAGAAAGCAAACTAACTTTCTTAAAAAGAAGGAACGATACAATACCAATGTACTGAATAATTCAGTTAAGAATTCCAGAGTCATCAACTCATAACTAAAGGAAAGTGGGTCTAAACGTTCAATTTTATCTAAGGACAACATAGGTAAATTAACTTGTTCATTGCTTATTTCATTCCATAAAGTTCTTAACGTTGGGCATTGAAAAGCCTGCTCAATTGAATATATTATAAAAAAATCTCAAGTAGTTCCATTTAAAATCTTACGTCTAGCTCTTCGAAATCCTTTAATTCCGACTTGATCACGTCCGAAAAGGAATGATAATCTAGAAGAGCTGACTGTCGGCCATATATTTTAGTTGCCTCTATACATACGTAGGTTATTGCTTTACAAAGGTTAGTCGCTCTGGAAAAAAAAGCTTTCTGTTTACAATCCTCAGAAAGAAAAGATGAAACATCATTATTGCATTTTTGGGTTTTATAGCAGTGAGTATCAGAATGATATCCCTGCAAAAGAGCTTGGAAAGAGCTAACGTCTCGTAGACCTTTGGACAAAAGTTTGGAAAATTTGATATTCTCGCTCACAAAGCTACCTAATATATGAATAGGCACTTCTTTTGAAAAAGTATAAGTTTCATAACCACTAAAAGTTATTGATTTTATACATTTAAAGTTAGAACAATTCAAATATATATATATATATATCCAGTTAACACAAGTTGACAATAAAGTGAAAACAGTTTTAAAGATGTTTTTAATAATAATAATGATAATATTATTATCACGGCTAATTTTATATTTATTACTATGAGTAGTAGTGGTAATAATAGTGGCAGGTGAGGATAAATCCTTAGCGTCATCATTTTTAAATATTAGTTTTGGATTTTTAAGAAAAACAGTTGAAAGACTAGGAAACCAACGGAAAATTAATTGTATATCAGTTGTTATCAAAAGACGTGATTCTAAAATGGTAATAACAAATTTTGTAGGGAAATCATAAGCTTTTTTAAATTCCACGTCTCCGATAGCCATGGCGTTAAACCGAAAATTCATCCAAGAAAAATGCAGTGAAGACAAATTAGCCGTTGCCGGCAACTTAAAATTAAGCAATTAATATCTCACGAGTTGAGTTTACCATAAACTGTTTAGGGAAAAGACGTGCCCATTACCCCCAAGTTTAGCAAGGGCTGCACCAAAGGGAATGGAACCCCCAATATTGATTTTGCGCGTCAACGCTCTTATAACTAGAGTGCACTATATATTGTCTAGTTTCGGTGAAATGTTATTTCGGTATAGCCTCTTTCAACTCCCAAGTAGAACCTTGAAAAAAAGAAATTGTAAACCTTTTTTTTCCCCTCCTTGGCTACGAGTATTGCTTTAAAACAGTGCATTTTTACGAAGTTTTAACGAGTTTTGAAAATGAGACCCTGATTATGAGCTACTTCATAGCCCCCTTATATTTAACGGCCCCTAAAAATCCTCTGCGGAGGGATTTTTTGATTTTCATGGATGAATGTTATTGTTACCCGAAGTAATTATAGGAGTGGTTTCTTTAAAAAGTAGATGTTTGTCAACACATGCGGCGTTCGTGTGCATCAAATTATGGGGGGTAGCTAACCCACAAAAAAAATACACAATAAAAAAAAAAATTTTTTTTTAACTTTATTATATACTCCACGTTGACCATTTGTTTAAACTGTAGAGCTTTAAATTACATATAATAAAGCATATACTAAAAAAATGAAGTTGTGTTGCACGACAATCTTTTAACATTTTTAAAAATACAAATTTTGAATTTGTTTTAGAATGTCCTATTTTCATATTTAATTAAACATCATTAGAAATGTCCTATTTTCATATTTAATTAAACATCGCGAACTAACGACAACAAAGTTACAACACCCTTCGAATATTAGCTTAGCTTTAATTGTATAAAATCTCTGTTTTAGTTTACTTACAACAATTCATTATTGGCCTTGCTTGTTAAAATTAATACACACGTTTAGACAGCGTAAAGGTGAATAATAGTGCTAAGAAAGTAAGACTGGGAGACATTATATATTAAGGACATGAAGTTAGAACGTTAGATTTGAAACCGAAGAAGTTGAACTAAATTGATCTTAAAATGTTTATGTAGTTGATCTGAGTATTTAATAATGTTAACTTGGTGGTGATTAGAGAAAAACGTATAAGAGATAAATACACTCGCAAGCACTTTAACATGAGAAAGACCGGTAGTATAAAAAACATCAAATTTTTCTTTATTTAAATAGGTTTCATTATAGAGTGAGCTTTTTACTAACACTTTAGTAACCTTTTTTATGTTTGAGCAAACTTATTTCGCCATTCCTCATATGCAACTTGTCATGTACATTAACCGTTTATTAATTTATTCATTAGCAATACCACCTGGTCTGCTGTACAGGCAGCTGTGGCTCTTCCCCGCCTCGCTCTTAGCTGGTGCCTGGTTTAATCTTTAATTAGCCAAAAGCAAGTATCTTTAAATTAGGGGTAGACAAATTGCACTACTTATGCAGTTGATCTAACAGCAAGGATTTCCATAGAAATGGCATTAATAAAGCTGTCGTGGTAGTCACACGAGAATTGTGTAGTGGTGAAAGGTGAAAGTGGCGATACCGGCATTATATCCTTTACTGTGCTGCAACAGCAGACTCTCATTGGGCAAAAAGCGAAGTCTGGAGATTATGTGCAGTTGACCGGCCATAACATACGTGCCCACGGCTTGGCAACTTTTAGTCTCCACGACAAAATGAACTACTTAGCGCTCGCACTATATGCTTTTTACCGCGATTCCCAAATAGAGCCGTTGGTAACCATTTTTTACCTCAAGTAGCTGGGAACGCCGACCATCTATTAGCGGAGAAAGTCATCTACTAAATAAAGGGCGATTTAAGCTACTGGCGCTAGGCGTGGTCGGAACTAAAAAAAATACCAATCCCCCCCCCCCCCCCTCTTATCCTGACTTGTAAACTATTAATTATGTTTAAGAGCTCGGGTATTGAAAGTATAGTTAAACTTTTAAAAGGTCATCCGCCACTCAACAAAATTTGGGGCTTTATTAACTCTTTACCAAAGGGTCAAATGCTAAAAAAGGCTTTAATACTAGTGCAATTTTATGTCGAGAAAGCCATAAATAATGTATGATATCATAGACATCTTATAAATGGCAAACTGTAAATTAATAAACCCTTTTTAAAAGATGGAGGATTTAAGTTTAAGATAGAAGCCCTAACTTTTGGTTGTAACCTTTGTCCCTCTGGGTTTTTTTATCTTCCCTTCTGGCACTCTCAAAGCCAATAATGTTTCCCTTCTGCAGTATGCTAATGACGCTGCGATTAAAACAAGTTCTAAATTAAGCTCGTTGGGTAAAAAAGATAAAATTATAACAGCTTACTTTAAAATTTATCTCATATTTAATAAACTTAACTATAATTTGACTAATTTCAAAGCCTTTCGAGCTGGCGTTGGAGGAATCATTTTACCAGTGAGAAACTTACAAAACTACTATAATAACGTTAACAACAATAACTTTATAGCTCGCAGGCTATTATCTTTGCATAATTATTAACCTCAAAGTCAACTGGGTCGCAATATAGACTACTTAACTAATAGACTCAAAATTTTCATTATATTTCAATACCCCCTACTATTTAAAAACCCAATTAAAGCTATATACCAACTTCTTTTATAAATTGTATCTTAAGGTACTCGCATATGCATTTTCTGCTTGGGTTTATTCACAATGAGACACTTAGTAGGCTGCAATTCTACATAAAAAATTTTCGACTGTGTACCAATGCCTTGTTTATAAAAAAATTTTCTTTAGCACTGTAAATGTTATAA